TCTGATTTTTCAAAGGTGTGCAAGGAAAAGCTTATAAAGAAGGTAAGAAATTGTTCAGGTCCCTATAGAAAGGTTCTAATAGATCTGAAAAAGAAAAACTACAATTGAAAACGAATGTGAATAAAAGAACCAAGAAGGCATTGAACCGATTAAAAGAAATCGAGTAAGACGATTAATATCCCACATCGGAGAAGATGAATGTTAAAAAATATCATTTTGGTTATCGTTAGAAAATCCTCCTTTAGTTTAATTATTATATAGTATTAAAAATCTTTGATTTAATAAAAATAATTTATATTGTCTTCCAATTTCTATATGACTCGCTTCGAATACGTCAGGGTTGTACGATTAAAATCTGAGTTTCCCAAAGGGCGGTTTCAACTTTTCGCGTTGTAGGGGGAACTAAGTTTGATTTGAGCAATCAACGAATCATAATTAACGATATTATTAAACAAGCGTTATAATTTTAATTTATAAAATTAGTTTTTGCGAGCAAAAAAATTAATTAATAAATTATTAATGCAGTTATGTTAATATATATATTATATAATAATATTTAACTTTGAAAAAAATTTTTTTTTTAATGACAATAATGAGCGAAATTTGCAAAATTTTTTAGAGATAATTTTAAAAAATGTGAACGAATTTGATTTTATTATATTAATAATATATAAATATTAATATTTAGAAATTAGTTAAAAAAAAAAAAAACAAACAAAAGTTTTCTATAAACATAAATTTAAACTTAGTAAAAAGAAAAACAACAAAGTTTTTGTTTTTTTTTTTTTTTTTCATTTTAGAACAATTTTTTGAAATTTTTCCAGAAATATATACATATATATATATATATATATATATATATATGTATGTGTGTGTATGTGTGCGCGTGCGTGTGTGTTTATATCTTTAAAATTTTACATTAGTTAATTAAAAAAAAAAAAAAAAAAAGTGATTTTCATAAGTTGTAATTTAACGAAAATGATTTAATTTAAAAGAAAAAAAAAATCGTTAAATCCATAGAGTAATAAGAAAAAATTTTAAAATTTCGATTTACGTACAAAAAATACGTATTCGTGAACGAATTCAATTATTAACTTATTTTGCGTAAAATTAATGAAAAATTATTTTTTAATAAAACTTAATAACTCTGGGTTTTTTCTTTAACCGATTATAAATTATGTTTTAATATATGGAGAAAAGATTTAGAAATTTTGACAATGTTTTCAAATCAAGGTCAAATTAATTTTAATTATTCCATTTTAAAAATTCATAATAAAACTATTAAAAATAATTTTATTGTTTTAATATTTACAAATTAAAAAATAGATAAATAAATAATGAGAGAATGATTTATGATGCAAATAGTTAAACTATAAGGTTGCACCATCATTTAATTCAAGTTTAAAAAATTAGGTCAAACAAACAGGTAGTTTATTCCAGTTGCACAATTATTTTTTTATTTTATTTTATAACAATTGTAATATATTTTCAAACTTTGTAAATGATTTACTAAATGATTTGAAAACAATTCGGACAATAAAAAAACCCTTAAATCATTTTGTTATAAAAATATCTATGCACCCATTTCACTTTTTATTCATATTATATCGGGGTTAAATAAAAAAAAACTCGATTGTAATCAGTGTGCTAATAAAACGCGACACACACACACATACACATGGCTTTCGGTCATTCGCCCTTAAAAAAAAAAAAAAAGAAATAATTAAAAATATTTGAAATGATAATAATATGAAAATTAAAGGGGATTCCTACCGTCGGCGCGTGCCACCATTGTTTGAGTAGACGTTATAAATCCAAAAACAAGTAACATGACTAAACTTTTAACCCATGTTTCGGAACTAAAATCTGTTTCGATCCAGAGTGCAAAATACCGAGCCATGCCACTTTAAGTATAAACCACTTCTGTCACTTCACTGCACGTCATATAGCGTCGAACACTTACACGGAATCATATCGACATATTAAATTATAAAATTTTATTTAAGAACCGACGATACTTTTTAACCGCACATTGATTGAAAACTATTTTGTTTTATTAAGTAATAATAGTAATTAATAAATTAAATAAATTATTACATAAAAAAAAAGGTATACGGATAACCACACCTGAATTATAAGTTACTGTACACTAGCTTCGTTTTCAAACCCGGACGGCGGTTGTTAAAGAGCGGTTGCGCACGCATGCGCCAAGTGGCCTGACATCGGGGAGAACTACGTTCGTTTTAACATTATAACAGCTGCTCAATGTAAAACAAAAAAAAATTTTTTTTTGCTAACTTTGCGCAGAAATTCACTTAAAATTTAAATTTAGCATTTGCTAGAAATAAAAATCCCAATTTTTAAAAAAAACCTATTTTATTTATACTTATCTTTTCTTTTTTTTAAATTTATAATAATTAACCTTTTTATTTAATTTGAATTAATCTTAAATGGTGAGACGACAAACATTTTTTTTAACTTTGGTTTAAATAGAAAAATATATGACTTTAAAGATATGTAACAAAAAAAAAAAAAAAAAGTTATCGGACAACAATTGAAAGTTTAGAATAATTAGAAATTAATATTAAAAATGTTATCTTTTTAATTATATTATGTAAAAAAAATAATATTCGAACAGTGTTAAAATGATTTGAATCTTCTTTTTAAGTAATAACGAATTTTTGACACGCAACAATAAGCAGTAAAATATAAAAAGAAAAACTATTATTATTATTATTATGAAATAATAAAAAAATGTAATTTACCTATATTTTAATAAAATGAAATAATTCATTTCGAATAATAATAATAATTGGGAAAGACATTAATAATAATATTATTTTTATTTTATTCCCTAAGAATAAATAATATTATTAAATTTTTTTTTTTTTTCATTTATCCTAATAAGGAGGTATTTCTATTTTTATTACTTTTAAAAAAAAATGTCAACAAATGTTAATAATAACACGGATAATAATTTCGAAATAATTAAAATAGACATTTTATGATGTAAAACGTTTTTATAATTTCTCAATATTTAATATAAGAAACATTTTTTGTTGTAAAACATTTGTGTTTGAGATGAATAAAA